CTGGGTGTTCACTGGAGATAAATATAATGTACATTAAGGTATCCAGAATCCAAGAAAATTGGCTTGACTCTTATTAATGCAGTGAAAATCCTCGGGCATCTTTAGGATGCTGTTGAACCCATAGATGGTGGTGCGTGATGAGTGGACGGAACACAGAGCAGACAGAATGGAAGCCTGACTGCTCAGAGTCCTGACACTATCCCTGGCCCTCCATGTGGCTGGTTCAAGTTATCAAGATTCTGTGTCTCTACTGAGAAATAAAGATGTTAATATTCCTTTCAGATGATACGAGAAGTAAATGACATCACCAATATTCAGTCGCTAGCCTTATAGAACTGACACTGACTGAAGACTCCAAAATGATTATTTTTCCTTCTCTAGTTTCTTATTTATGATTTCATTTCTGGATAATTCCTTTGTAAAAGTAATTAATCTGTATTAATATTTATCATAATGATTACATTACTTTGCAGGGCTGACCAGCATGGCTGGCCCAGCTCTCTAACACATTTCTACAGGAATATTGATAAAATAAGCAAAAAATGAAGTTCAAGCTTTCGTTTCAACAAGAATCAAAGGATATTGATAAAATACAGCTTCAAAAGTTTAGGACACCTTAGAACACATGTGGCAGGGTCATCGCTTTCTGCCCTCACCAGCGCTGTGCCAACAGCATGTGGTACACACAGATTCTGCTTCAGTTTATAATTTTACGGTTCTACCCTTCAATGATAATTTTTGACATTGCTCCTACACTATGTATGTCTTATTCATCTGTGTTTTTTTATTTTTATTTTTTTGGCGGAACCGGGGATTGAACTCAGGCCCTTGCACTTGCCAGGGAAACACTTCTTCCATTGAGCCAGCTCCTCAGCTCCTTATTCATCTGAATGTATGCTAAAAAACATAAAATTCTTGTTGGGATAAATTATATTTTGAGTAGCTGAAGCATTGCTAGTTAATGTAATACATGAAGAATTTTATGAAAATCAGTTGAGGGATTGCAATTATTTTAAATGAAAATTTATTTTTGGAGGTAAGCCTCACATTGCAGTTCAGACTTGCCTTAAACTCATTTATGTAGCCCAGGATGCCCTCAGATTCACTGAGATCCTCCTGCCACATATTTCTAAGTAATATGGTTGTAGGCATATGCAACCATTCCAAGGGAAAGAAATTTTTAAAAATTCTTCTCACAAAAGATTTACATTTGGCTAGGTTCAGTGTGAATAGAAAATATTTTCCTAGATGGATAAACAAGAAGATACTTGTACCAAATCCAGATTTATATAATTGCTTTGCTTTCATCAGTGATGTTTATGGTCATTGTTTCGCTCTCTTTAGGGGTGAAGAAGGCCTCTATGAATACACAGAGATCAAGACTGTCACAATGAAAATCTCTCAGAAGAACTCATAATCCACTGGAGTGAAGACTCCTCACTGAATTGGCATTTCTTCCATTCACCAGTGTAGAATTTAAATATAAAATTCATTTTTCTTAATTTTAAAGTTTAAAATAATTGGATTGTTATTAATAATATGCATTAAAAACCAGACATGTAGCTTATTGTGAAAGAAACATTTCCCTTTTGACCTGTGAACCAAAGTGCAAGATCTCTTTAACTTCATTTTAGTGATGTACTTTTCTATATAGGAATCTTTAGGAATAATCTTTTATAGAGGTGGACCAGTAGACATTTAGGTATTTACCCTCAAAGGCTGCTTGCAGTACTTAGTATTGATATTCATGACAGACTGAATAGTAACCATGTTGTCTGTGAAGTGTCTTGAAATGTTTCCTAGACCGCCATGTCTGCTTGTAGAATGAACAGTTTAACTGTAATTTGAATATAACGTTTAATTAAAATCACATTACATGACTCATTTTGAATTATTCTTATTTATTTAGAACTTTGGGCTGTCATGAATAATTTACTCTGTCCCTCAGGAGCAGTGTTTAATTAATCATAGCAATTGCCAGAAAAATAAAATCAAGAGACGGAAGGAGGAAGAAGGAGAGGATAGAAGGGTAAAAATGAATTAGAATGTGTTATGAACATGGAGGCAATTGCCCAAGAAGAAGGGAATTATTAAGTTCTACAAACCATTGCCAATAGAAATTCAAATTTAAATAAGCTATCTACGCATTCTCAAATGGATAGAGACACAGAGTTTCTTTTCCACAGCAATCTTTGAAATCACAGCAGTCCATGAGAAAGCTGGCATCAGTCCTTCATAAAAATTTACTGAGTTCCTGCATTGTTCTAGGCATGGGTGTTATGCAAAACAGGTGAAGAGTGATTGGTCCCTTGTCTCCAGTTGCATTAGCCTAGTAAGGAACAAAGCACAACCCATCCTTCCCTAAAAACGAGGATCCACAAAGCCCTAGAGTGCAGTAACATGCCACAGGAGTACTGATGACTTCTAACTGACAAAGTGTGGATGGCTTCATGAAAGAAATTTGAGTGGACGTGAATTTTAACAATGATCAAATTTTCAGTGAATAAAAGAGAAAGAGGTTTTACAACATAATCTCTGTGGATATGTTTCATTGGAAAATTACAGACATTCTATACAATATAGTCTCCCCTGTACATTAGTACCATATTATAGTTGCTAAGCTATCCCCTATCCTCTTTGGTTTTGTTTTAGTATACATTTCTCCCATTCTAGTTTAGCAGAAAACATGCCTACCTCCTGCCCCCTGCCTCACTTAATACCAGTTAACGTTAAAAACTGGTAACAGGAGGTGCTCTGCCTTGCAAGAGGTAGTGCCTCCTGTTCTAGCAGTGGACCTGAAGATGAGATGGGCACAACCGGGCAGCAGACTGTTTGTGTAAAAGAGAACTGCATTATGCTTCCATTATATGCTTATAGCAAAGCCCTTAGTGATCTTCTGTGGAGCTCCTTGTAGGAAGTGACTTTAGCCCAAGTAAAATCAAGACAATATTTGCATACTACTATACATATTTTTTTTGCTCCAAATGCCTTCAGGGCATATTTGGCTGGCTGGAGTTGTAGGGATCGAACCACAGCAACCTGAGCCTGACTGCTTTGTTGAAGCAGCCAATTAAAGAACTGAGCTAAGAGGCAGGCCCCCTACTTTAAAATGTTCTTAGCTCAACAATTGAAAAATTTAAACTGAATGATCACTAGCACAATTATTTTCCAGAATGAGATTTTATATAAGTACTTAATGATTTTATGTTGATAGACTACTTTTTAAGACTGACAGAGGTATCAGTGACAGCGACTCTTATCAAGTATAGCAAGATCAAAAGAATGAAAGTCATCAGCTTCTTAAATTTGAAAACATTTCACCTGCAATTTAAGCATTCCTCAATCTTGGATATGGTGGACCAAATATCTCAGTGGATGAAAACACCTGAAAGCAGGCATAGGGGCTGGGGTTTGGAAGCCTGGGCCTGCCATGTTGGCTCCACCCCCCGGGCACCATGAGATGGAAATTGAGACAGGGTGTGATGGCATATGCCGCTAATCCCAGCTCTTGGGAGGCTGTAAACAGGCGGATTATTTGGACACCGATCTAATAGTGAGACCTTGAACAACCTACAGACCCTTGCCTAAAACACACAAAAAGAACAATTAAAAAAAAAAGAAACCCCACAATAAAACTTGAACAGACCTATAAACTGACAAATGTACCATTTTCTGGGAATGAGAATGTAATTACCATTTTTGGAAACCAAAGAAACCTAAATCTTAGGGAAATCTAAAGTCTTAGGATATTGACAAAGAAAGCTATCCAAACACAGAGAAAGATTGATTTTCCCTAAAACCAGAAAGTTCCTAGATTTTTTAAAAAGATATATTTAAACTCATGTGTAAATAAACTGACTAGGTTGCAAAGTTACATCACAGTGACATCCTACCATAACATCTTCCTATGTAACAAAGAGAGCTGAATACAGAATAACATAAAAGCCAAAGGCAAGTTGAAATACATAAAAATGAAATTTTCATAGCATAAATAATGCATCATAGGATTTAACAGAAAATATCTGCTCTATATTAGTTTGTTTTGAGTTTCTGAAAATTATATGCGTTGCATTATTTGTATGACGTTCATATAGGCAATAATCCCTAAAACCTTAAAAATTTAGAGGATCTTGCTAGTCCATTTATAACTTGGAGTCACAAATATAGTGTCATTGTCCTCAGCTGCACATGGTGGAAAATAATTTCATCTTCAAGAATATCAAATCAAGCAACAGAATTCACTTTCCAGGCAG